CAGGATGGGGCCTTGAGGAACTGCAATGGAGACCGGTGCAGGAGAAGAGCAGGTCAAGCCTATTCTCATTCGGAGTGCTATGTCTAATAAAAAGGCCTTGATCCAACGAAGGATTTTCATTTGAATCCCGTAAGATGGAAGATTGTGGAGCAGCGGACATGTGGGACCCTATCAAACGCTTTCGAGAGGTCGAAAAATATGGCATCCTATATGAGTCCTTCGTCTTTGGAAAGGGATCACTGCTCTTACTAGAGCTCATCAGCAGTGCACATCCAGTGTCCGTACCGGGATTTGAACCCCGGGACATCTGACATGCTAGGCGACCCGGGAAACCCGGGCAAAAGGCTCGATCCTGTATAGCAATCAGTGAATCCGTGAATCCGAAATGGACACAGCTACTGGCCAACGGGTAAAACGATCAACCATAGTAAAGGTATAGGTGGAACCGTTTGGTGGGGAAAGTGGAGCAACAATGTCGAGATGAACGTGTGTGAATCGAGCATCAGGAACGGCAAATGAACCAATGGATGAGTTCGTATGCCATGTTACTTTACTGCGTTGACAGGCTATGCAGTGTTTGGCCCAGGATGTCAGGTCCTTATTCGTGAAGGGACATACAAAGCGTGCACTAATCAACTTCTTGGTTTACTTTGATTCCTGGATGAGAAAATCCATGAAAGCGGTCGAAACCAACGGGGACGATTGGGCAAGCTGAGCCGGTAGACATAATCGCGTCAGCCTCGTGAACTTTCTGGACAATGGTCCTACATAGTTCTTCCACTGGAGCTGGTCCCAGCCTGACTTGTTCAAGGAAGATGCGCATTCCTGAGAAGTATGCACGGCAGAAGTCTCGAAACCACGTTTGAGGTTTGGGATTTCTGGCCCAATAGGAGATGAAATCAAAGGCCAGCACACAGTGGTCGCTATGTCCCAGTGGTGCGTTAATTGTTACCTGACCAACGAAGTGTCTTTCGTTGATGACCAAATCCAGGAGGGATGGTAGTTGGCCTGCGCGGTATCTGGCGGGTGCAACGACATGTTGAGTCCAAGCGCTCTGTTGAACGACTTCAAACAGCACCGCTGCTGCAAAGTCCGCCTGATTCGACGCGCTGGAGCTCAATCCAGGAGGCCTTTGAGGCGTTGAAGTCACCTACCAGCAGGAAATGAGTGAAGTGGTAGTTGGGAGAGAGTTGCTCAAGGGTTTGTATGAGGAACTGGTCATCTTCAGTGGGACTCGAAGGGCTACGGTAAACCACACCGAGAAGGAGAGAATCGGACCCGCGCAGCGGGATTTGGACCCACAGTGCCTAGCAAAAGGGTGCAGGAGTGGTATCAGAGAGGACAATCGGGAATGGTAAGTAACTACAGAGCAACCCCACCTGCCCGCCCTCGCTTTTGAGTCAACTCGAAAAATAGAGTAACCGTCTATCGAGATCTCCATGTCAGAGACGTCTGGTGTGAGCCAGGTCCCTGTGAGTGGGATTATGGACGGTTGTTCAAGGCAAGCTGACTGTTTAACACCGCCGAGTTTGTTGAAAAGACTGAGGCAGTTTGTGGACAAGCATTTCAAAACTGTCTCCGCTGCCTCCCAGAGTGAGGAGTCGAAAGTTGAGTGACCAGGGAGATTAGAAGACGTAATAGTTGTGCGCCGGGTTTGGATTCAAGGCTCCAAAGAGGCCTCAGGGGCAACATTGTCTGCTTCCTGTCTTCGGGGTTTCTGGAGATGCTTTTCGCTTGCAAGGTTTTTTCGCCCTGTGAGAGCCCGGTTTGCTCGGGGAAGGAGTCTTTTCCTCGTGGGCAAAAATTTCGACCACTGCTGCTTGTAGCTGTTTCAGCACCGCCTTTTTGGCGAGCAGATTTGCCGCAAACTTTCGCCTTCCTGGATTCTTGGGTGTTTTGGCACGGTTTGACCGGAAAAGTGTCTCCGTGAGGCCCTGAGCACTGGGTGGTGACACCAAGAAGTAATGATTTTGTTGGCGTTCCCATCAGGCTCGTTTTAGCGGAGGAGTGCACCTTGAAGCCAGCCAGCAGTTTTCTAATCTGGCGAATCGTAAAGGGCTTGTTTGGCTGTAGTAGCTTTTCTTTCGTGCTTGTGTGGACACCCGATCCGCCGACGATCAGCGTGGCCAACTGGATTCACGGATTCACGGATTGATACACAGGATCGAGGCT